TAGAGACTTATGTGGCTAGAGATACTTAGTGAAGGATTCACAGGATCAGGGGAAATCAGCACCCCCAAGATCCCACTCCTGTTTACTCAGAACTGACAGTCCTGTTCAGCAGAGCTGTCCCTGAGCTTCAGCTGCCTGCTTTCTGAGGTTTGTTAAATTATCCCCCAGATTAAATGTACATGTGACAGGAATGACACTGTCCTAGTGGTGAAGCAAGTCCATGACACCTCCCAAAGCAAAGACTTTTATACTTCAAAGGAAGGCTGGGTAGAAAAAACCCTGGAAAGGCTCTTGTGACAACTCCTGGGTCAGCCTTGTTCTGATGCTAGGAGCTCAGAGAACTTATGAAATGAAGAAAGTGACTTGCCTCAAGGATCAGTCTTCAAGAACTGAGGATGGATAGTATAAAGCTGTTATACTGGGGATCTTGGACTATGCCTCAGCTTGTCTATGAGTTACTAATCTTCTATAGCTCTCCCCAGCTCCCAGGAACTTTTTTTTAGCTCCGTATTCTCAGTGTTTTTGAATTTTTCTTTATTTTTTCCTCATTATACAAATTCCCACAAACCAGGTTGGCTCAAGATGAAATTTACCTCTTGGTAGCCTTTTCATTTCACAGTGTCCTCCAGCTGCCTGTGGGTGTTCTAGAAACTGCCATCCACAGCCATCTTGGTATCTGATAGCTAACTGCCTACTCTATTCCAAGCTCCCTCTAAGAAGGGACTGCCAGCTCTAGTTCCCAACAGAAAGAGGTATTATCTCTTATGCTGTTATTGCCGCAAGTGCAGTCACCAAACTGATTTTTGTGAAACACAAATGTGACCATATCACCCCCTCTCTAAGTAATATCCAGGGGTTGCCTATTGTTTCTAGGATCAACTATAAATTCCTCTATTTGGCATAAAACTCTTGACAACTTGGCCTCCAATGACCTTTCCATCTTTGCTGCACACTGTGGCCCGACTGCACTGGCTTCTTTGCTGTTCCTCATGCCCAGAACTCCATCTTCTGCTTCTCTGCCTCTGCACTGGCTGTCTTCCATACCTAGAATGCACTTCCTCATCACCTCCATCTCTTAGAATCTCTAGTTTTCTTCAAGCTTCAGCTTGAATGCTGCCTTCACATGAGGCCTTTCCTGATGCCCCCATCTGTCTGCTAGTGCCCTCCCCTCACAATCACCTGCAGTTATTTTTGTCTATTTTCAATACATCCACAGATGTTTGTGTTTCCACTGGATAGACCATAAGTTAGTTCCTTGAAGGCGGCGACTATTTTTTTGCTTTTGTCTTTGCATCCTCTGACCCTACTCCCTCCACACAAACACATAGTACAATGTCTAGGCACAGTAGGTATTTAATAAATGTATTTTTAAAAATAATAGCAGACATTTGATTATACTGTTTGTTAATTTCAGCTTTCTTAAAAGTGCACATACTTACATCACCACTGGGAGGGGCATAATAGACACCACTGGAGTCAAACTTATAGTCTGGATTTTTAACTATCTCTGGATTGTAGAATTTGTTTAAAATGCTGCGCAATGTACGTCGGTCCCAGTCATCAGTAACTCTGCCACCATAATTGCATTCACCAGTCATATATCGCAGTGCATCATAGGGAAGCTCCTAAAAATAAGACGTCAGTGTTTCAACCAGCTCAAAACTTCCCATATTAGCATTACAAAGTTATATACAGGGTCATATTAAATTAAGAGTTTTACAAAAGACCTCCCTCAAAACTACCCTTTTTATATTTTCTTGTAAGCTCTATAACTTTCTTGGCCTCTTTCTTTTCACTGCCTCTAACACTTAACAAATGCCTTGTATGTGCCAGTTATTCAAGAAATAGAACTCTCAATATAGTTGCATTTCCTTCTGAAGCAAAGTCATAGTGGCATTGAACCATTTTAGTCTTAAAGAGTATACTTAATAATGTCAACAGTCAAGCTTATAGCAAGAGATAATCTTCAAAAGATCTAGAGAATGACCTATGAATTTTTTTATTCCACCTATTTCTACCTACTGTCACTCACAATCTTATCTCCCTCTGCTGAACTGTGAAAGGCTGTACTGCCGAAGCCATTGTCCCTTTGTTCATGGAGAAGCCAAGAGAGAGGATACCACAGAGCCTAGAAATTATGTGTTTCTTCAGGAGGCCATAAGGCAGTGTTGCGACTGTATCATTTGGTTCCTTAGCACTGTATCATGAAATCCTAATGAGTGCTTGAGATCTTTCTTGGAATGTACAACTCCCAAAGTATCTAACCATTCTAAATGTCTTTGACTACAGCCTTGCTTTCACGACTTCTAATGTGTTGCTGATATCAATCCCTTTCTTCTCCCCTCTCCTCCTCAAAATAAAAGAAAGACAGTATTAGAAGCAAAATGATAAAATGGATTGGGGGTCAGAAGATCTGCGTGCCAGTCCTGGTTCTGTCACCAACTCAGAATAAACTATTAATGGGTTTGTAATAGAAGACCTGACATCTTGGCTACTATAATTAACTCTATGCTGTTAATAATGAAGTACATCAGAAGCTACTGGGTAATAACTGTTGAATTCATGTCATGGGAATTGAAATTAATCAGAAGGCCCTTAAGTGTAAATGAACTTAAAATGTCATAAAGAGCAGAACAGAAAAGGTCTTTGCTGTTAATTTAGCTATACCTCATACTGGTTCAGAAACATGCCGAGCTGCTGTACGCTGATTCTCAGGTCAGTCTCATTGAACTCATAAGGAATATTCCATCCCAGAGGCCCAAATTTCCGTCTTTCTTGAACTAATGCATGGAAGAAACAGAGGCCATAGAGCAATTTCTTGAATTCTTCCTTTAAAAAGAAGATAACAATTGTTATATCACTTAATTTTTCTTGCTATTACATCATAAGTAATAACAGTAATGCCCTAGGTTTCAATAGGCTTTTATTCTTTTCAAAAACTTTCACATATATTAGCTTGTTTGGATATTATTTAGGTGCTAAGGCTTATACATAATAAATCAGCAAGTACCAATAAGGGCACATGATATGCCAGGCACTGTGCTGAGCTCTGGGGGCATCAAGACAAAAATGAAATAATTCTTGAATTGTTTTCCATTACTCCAGTCCCTCCTGGTGATGTGGGGATGGCACTGGATTCTCAAAAGAGAGGCCAGCCAAATTGAGGGTCCTGCTTAGTTCCTGTCATGCTGAGAGGAATAATCTAATTTCAGAAAGGCTCTTTACTGAAGATTTCATTACCAAGTGTAGAATTTCTTCAACCACAGAAAACTAGTATTTATATAAAGGTTTAAGTTTTGCAAAGTGCCTTATAGATATTATCTTATTTTTTATCTTCACAATAACCTTGGAAAGTAGCTGCTAATATTATCCCCATTTTGCAGATGAGGAAACTCAGGCAAATGAAGGTTAAATGACTTAGTCGAGGTCACATAGCCATTAAGTATCTGAGGCTGGATTTGAACTCAGGTCTTCTAGACTCTTGGTCCAGTGCTTTATCACTGGACATAGCTGCCTAATAATGATTATCTAATACAATGTTTAGAGGGTTGAAATCTGTTTCAGTGGAAGAAGTTAATTAGTTGTTTTAGTCATGTCTGTCTCTTCCTAACCCCATTTGAGGTTTCCTTGGCAAAGATACTGGAGTGTTTGGCCATTTCCTTCTCCAGCACATTTTACAAATAAGGAAACTCAGACAAACAGGGCTAAGTGACTTGCCCAAGGTCATGCAGTTAGTAGGTGTCTGAGGCCAGATTTGAACTCAGGAAGATGAATCTTTCTGACTCCAGGTCCTGTGCTCTATCCACTGCACCACCTAGCTGCCCACCTCAAAAAAAAATCATGGATCTTTGAAGTATTTCCTAACTTTAGGAAAGTTAGGAAAGGTATTATTATCCCTATCTTAATAAATGAAGAAATATATTTAAAATGGTTAAGTCACATAATAAATGGCTAAGCTGGGACTAGGACTAAGAGAAGCAGCATCATGCTGGGACCTCTCTGGATTCTCAGTTCCCTTGTAGGTAAAATGAAGTGGCTACATTATTAGATGGCTTCCAAGGTTCCTTCCAATCCTGGATCTGTAAGCCTGGGGACAAGGTCCAGGAGCTGTTGGTCTAAAGCTTCCTTCATCAAGCCATTTTTTAAAAGATAGAAGTAATTTTCTCTTGTTCAAAAGCAGCATACTAAAGGCACTGGTACAACAAGGGACCTAGAAGTGCCACAGAGGAAATGAATAGCAGAAATTGTTCACAGGCATGCTGCCATCCTGTTCGCACATAACCGTGTTTATTTGTACACAGGCTCACTCCTTATATCTAGCTATGACTTAGTAAGGTCTCAGGACATACTGTTGTTATTTTTGAAAGTTAAGAATTTGATTCAATAACAGGATATCTAAAAAATTCTGAAACATCAGTGTTTCATAGTGTGCTTAGCAGGTGCTTTGAATACTTCATTTGTGAGACCCAAGACCCTGTATGAGTTTGGTCAGTAATTCCTTATTGCCTACCCCACTAAAACCTGTGACTATTGCACAGGGATATGGTTTTGGTCCAGGAGAAAAATTTAACAAAAATTTTTTTTTGCAAACTTGCAGAAATGACCCTGCCACAAAGCTTGAGAGGAACCTGCCATTTCCTGGACCCCAGGTATTACAATGGCTGTTTGAACAAAATTGATAGAACTCCATATATGGTATAAGACAAAGCAAATCTTATACATTAAGGACAAGATGATAGATTAGTTTAAAATCAAGTTTTTATTGTTCATGATTAACTTTTTTTTTAAAGTTCTTTCTTATATTTCTGATTTTTCCATTGGCGTATATTTAAAACATGCTTTGACAACAGAAGTGTGGGCTTTTTAATGGCAGCAACTTACCAAGGTTCATAACCCCTGTTAAAATGAGCTCTCTTCCATTTTTAATTATGGCAAAATGATGTGAAACAATTTTAGGTCAGAGACATTCATGTACAAAACCCTAATCATGAAAACAGTAGGTGGTTTCCCAGCTATCTTGGTGACTCTGAAAAAGGCACTTATGATTTCCATAAATCAACCAGTACAATCATTTTGGCTCTCATTATAGTTATATGGATAAAATATTTTTATGTTTTAATTTAGAGATATGGTCCCAAATAGCAAAGGGTTTAGTTAATATCCTGCTACAAGATCTCCAGCCTTGCAGATTTGTATTGGCAATGGCTTATATCTGACTTCCTAAGTAGAAATTTAAGTTATTAATGGCACACCACAAAATCTCTGCTGAGAAGGAAGAAGACTAGTGGTAAAATAAAAATAAAATATTAATAAAATTGACTTCACTGCAGTCAGTAATCAGTAATCAAAACCAACTTCATTGCAGTGAAGAAAGCTTATTTAATTTGGTAGTTTTCATTCAGAGCACACATCCATAATCACCAGAGGCCACTTTCAGTTGTTCTACAGGGCTGAGGCAACAAGGCTAACACATTACTCACAGGCTTCTTGCAACCACCGAAAAACTCAGGGTCAGAGATTGGGTCCATCAAGTACGATCGAATAATATTAGCCCGTAAACCTTTAGGTGCTTCATTAGTCATTTTTACTCCATTCTGAAGCACAGACACAGGGAAATTTGGAGAAGGGTAGCTTGTTAACCAAATTCGGAAATCTGGATGGGTTGTTTCTGGACTTAGGTCCTATAAACAGAAATCAGATAGAAAACTGTAAAGAAAACCTAAAGAAAATGATGAACTTTCTACAACACAAAGTTACTCCTGTCTTCTAAAGAAATGTCTTTTTTACAAATCACCCTTGAAGAACTCTTGCTAAAATAGTTTATGTCATAAGTAGCTTACAAAAGTGTATGTCATAAGTAGCAACAAAAGTTGCTAGAACTGACAGATTTTAGAGAAATCTAAACCTAAGGTACATGGATAGATTTTTAGAGGGTCCATGAACTTGGAAGGGAAAGATTGCATCTTTATTTTCATTAACCTCTAAATGAAATTTGACATTTCCTTCCATTATGAATTTTTAAAAAAATTATTCTGCAAAAGAGGTCCATGGGTTTGACCAGACTATCAAAGAGATTTATGACATGAAAAAGGTTAAGAACCACCATTTTAGGGACACCCTAGATTTAGATTTTAAATAATCTCTGACAAGTAACTATATATAACTGAAAACTGTCCCTTGAGTTAAAACAACCATTGAAGACTTTTTGACTTGTTTTCCCTTTTGATGGAATCTCATTGCTTTGTGTAAGCTCTATTTTCTGTAGTACAAATGAGGAGAAGATACAGGTGAATCAGAGGAAACCGACACAGGTCCTTCAAGTTGAATAGAAGGCTAGGGGAACTAACAGCTATCTCTTTAACTATAATTGCCTGTAAAAATAATCACAATGATGTTTACCATCTATATAATATCTACTATGTTCTAGGCACTGTGCTAAGTACTTTATAAATATTATCTCATTTTATTTTCACAACCCTGGGGGGTAGGTGCTATTACCATCCTCATTTTACAGTTCAGAAATCTGAGGCAAACTGAGGTTAAGTATCTTGCCCTGGGGCCGGATTTGAACTCATCTTCCTGACTCCAGACCCAGCACTCTATCCACTGAACTAGCTGTCAGTCAGTCAATAAATAGTGGAGCAGCACTTTCTGTGGCAGGCACTGTGCTAAGCACTGGGGATACAAAAAGAGGCAATCTCCACCCTCAAGGAGCTCACAATCCAATCTATGTAGCTGCCTATGCAGGAGAACACTTTGCCCATGGCTGAGATAGAAGAAAAGCCACAAGCCACACGAAGTTTTGGGGACAAATCGTCAGAAGAGTTTTTGTCTCCACCACGCCACTAAAAGTGGTCTCTCTAAGGCCAGTGATGATCTCTTAATTGCCACATCCAACTCCCCTTTTCAGGCACTGGCCTTTATGTATTAGCTGGCACCACTGACCACAGATCCCTTCTTTCTTTCTTTTTTTTTTTTGGTGACGCAATTGGTGTTAAGTGACTTGCCCAGGGTCACACAGCTAGTGAGTGTTATATGTCTGAGGCTGAATTTGAACTCAGGTCCTCCTGACTCCAAGGCCAGTGCTCTATCCACTATGCCACCTAGCACAGCTCCTTTCTTGATACTCCCCCTCTGGCTTCTCTGACATTTCTTTCTTCTGGTTCTCTTCCCGTCTGCCTGACTGTTCCTCACTCACTAGTTCATCTTCTCCTTCAGCTCCTTAAGTGTGGGTGTCCTTATCCTTCTTTTCTTCCCTTTGCAATTAATCTCTTTCATTCCTATGGCTTTAAGAATCACCAATATAACAGCTCCTTGCTCAATTGTTTGCTGGACCTCTTGAATCCCTTATGGACACCTCAAACTCAATATGCTCAAATGAAGCTTATCCTTTCATCTTTCAAACATTCTACCTTGCTGAACTCTCATCTCCCCTGGCCCCACTACACTGTAAGTGCCTTGAGGGCAACGGTTGTGTACATTTTCTTCTTTGTTTCTCCACAGCCTACCTAGCCCAGTGCTTTGCACATAGTTAGAGTCTAATAAATGTTTGTTGAATTACATGGCCTCTCCAAGGACCTTCCTGGATGACCAGGGTATATCAGGGGGTGACTATCAGACACTGAGTTCAGTTAGGCTTCTTGGCTTACTGATGGTGTAGGATTGCTATCTATACAAACATATTCCCCTACAGTCTAATATGTTTTCCAATGAACATTGGTTTTGTACCTCCTTCCCCATTTAGCCAATTGTATTTTTTAGGGACTTGTTTTCTTCAGTGTACTTTTTTCCCAGTTGGCCAATTGTATTTTTTAAGGACTCCTCTACCTCTCTCATTTGACTTTTAAAATCTTTCTTGAGCTCTTCTAAGAAGGCTTTTGGGGCTTCAGAACAGTTCATATTCCCTTTTGAGGTTTCAGATGTGGGTTTGTTGACAATGTTGTCAATTCAGAATTTCTGCCTTGATCTTCACTGTTCTCATAATATGAATCTATGGTACGTTTCTTTTTGCTCATGGTGTTTGATTTTTCCCTGGCCTTTAAAGAGATTGAGCTCTCCTGCTGGGGAGCAGAGGGCACTGACCCAAGCTTCTTGTATTGGGAGCCCAGGTCTTGGTCACTGGCTTTGTGTGTTGGGGCCTCTGATGTTGGCAATTGAAGGCTGTAGGGTTCCGGCAGCTTATTTGTTGTTGGGCTGGAATCAGCAAGGCTGGGACTTTCAGGCAAATCTAGGCTGCCTGCTTTTCCTTTCCTTTAGCTTTGTTTAGCTCCTTTTGGATAAGTGCTGCCAGGTGTTTATCTGCCTGGGGCCCCTTGCAGTGCTGCCTCCCTTATTTTTGCTGAGGCACTGGAAGACCTGGTTGCTGTACAACGCTGAGGCACCTAGTGGTTTTCTGAGCCGGTTTCCACCTGTTCCCCTGCCCTCACTGAGGCACTCAGAAGTCCAGGTATTGGTATTTGCCTGCTCCGCTACCTGGGTTTCAGGATCTCCTCCTGGTGTGCTAAAGTGGGGCTTTTCACTAGCTTGCTGGGATGCCTCTCCAGTACTGCTCCCCTTCCCTCAGGGCAAGAGGGGCCTTTCCCATTAATCCCTCAACGTACCTGGGCTACTGTACTGCTGCTCCCCGTCTTTATTCTGGTTCAGCTGTTCCAGGGTTTTTCCTGGGGCAACATTTTCTGGGCTTTTAGAGGTTGATAGGGGAGGGTGAGAGCAACTACCTTTTTACTCCACCATCTTGGCTCCTAGCCCGATGAATATTGGAAATTACGCCAAAGTTTACTTATTTCTATGTTTTCATTTCCCCATGTAACAGCTGTAACTGTAAATTCCTAAACTTCTCAAATAGTCCTAAGAATTAAATTCTAGTGTATGGAGAAGAATTAGGAAAGATATAAAAGGGTAGTCTCATCATGGCACTTTAATTACAATTAAATTTATACACTAACACATCTTCTTTGGACCTTACAAAGAACCTTATGTGTATTTCTCTTATGTACTTATTTTGTGGACTCTGCTAAGTTGTAAGCTCCATAAAGGCATAGACTTTCATTTCTATACCTCCCTCAACATGGGTACTCTGAACATGGATGGCATTTAATAAGTATTTGCTGAGTTAAATTGGAAAATAATACTGAATAAAAGATCATATATTGCATATGTGTGTCATCGCACTTGTTTTCATTTTCTTCCCAATCTTCTCTATGAGCTTTTGACCTTAGAAAGAAGGATTAGTGATGTGTTAAGAGAAAATATTTTATTGATTTGGCAGTGGAACCATTTGACCATCCTAGATATCTTCTGACAAAACAGAAATGAAGCTTATGAGCACAGTGCAAGTCATGTTCATTAAATCTGATGTGCATTCATTTGTTGATTGCTTGGTAAATATGTTCAACCCTTTTTTACATATGTATATTGTACATTCTCATTCTCATATGTATATTATACATGCTCATGGAACAGTGGAAACTCAACAAATATTGCTGATTAACCACTAAGGACTATTTCACAGACAAATTCATCATCTTACCTTATACTTTCTTAAAAATCCGTGGGGTCACATGTAAACTATTTCTCTATATTTATTAACATCATTCTTTAATGATATCATTTCTTGAAAATAACGAGCATTTTTACCTCACAAACTTTCTCCAGTGTTGGCATCCAAGATGTTGCAAGATGGCAGTTCTGAAGAACAACCCAGGTTCCTTCCTTGACTGCTTTCTCTATCATTTTCATAGCAATGGGCCCTTGGCCTTGACCAAGAGATAAGGAACTAAGTTTGGATCCCCCATATCCCTGCATACAATACATATTATAAAAGTTACTAAAATGGGAATATATACTTATAGATACTCAATGTATATATTTTATCAATCATATTAAATTAATCAGATTTAATTATGTGTCATATCCAAGGACTGGGAAATAGTGCATAATCCTTTGAAAACTTGTTTCATGGTGACCAATATTTGATTTAAGGACTCTATAAGTACTAGATGTAGTCAGTCAATTCATGGAAGAACTACTTCATGCAGTAATCCTGAATGTAAAGGGAGATTTCTTGGGAAGTGAGAGAGTATAGTGGATGTAGTGATGGACTTGAAGTCAGGAAGACCTAAGGTTAAATCCTGCCTGAGATACTATGTGGCCCTGGGCCAACTCCCTGAATCCCTCTTGGATTTAATTTCCTTAGCTATGAAATGGGAGGTAATAAAAGCACCTACTTCATAGAGCTGTTATATGAAGATGACAGGACAGAATATATGTAAAGCAAGTGTTATTTATCATTATTATTTTACATAGCTTTTGATGTCTAAAAGTGGTCATGTTATTGTTTGTCTTTTGTTCTCGAAGAGGACTATGACATCAGGGAGGTGATGCCATGACCTGCAAGTAAATTGGATTTAAGTGAGGCAGTGCTGTGCAATTAGGGCAAGATGCAGATCAGGACAACTGGAGATGGCCCAGAATGCAGTGGGGGACCTTGGCCTTTTCAAGCTAAGGTCTTTAACAAGTCTCAGTTTGACTGAGGCAAGGCCCATTCAGTGATTAAGGCTTAATATGAAGAGGTGATAACAAATGTGCAAAAGAAAAACAATAAAGTAGATTTTTGACTTGAAGGAAGAAATGAAAAAAATTGATATTACATAATTATTACCTAATTAAGAAAATTACATTTTAATTTTCAAAATAGAGTAGAATTTTTATATCCTAGAAAGTAAATATTTCTAATATCTAGTTCTTTTTATAATTTGTTGAAGAAAATAAGGACGAAAGTAAAAACAATCATAAGAATAGCATTAACATCACAAAGTGAAATATGAACCATCCACTAGAAATTTCAAATCTGAAAAACCCTTAGAGTATTTTAAACAGACCGACAAGTCTACCCCATGATTTTTGGAAGAACTGAATTCTATTCAATTTGTCCAGAAAGCAATATTTAAAATTCAAGTCCCATTTTACCCCAGCTTCTGATTTTTAAAAGGGGGTCAATGGGAAAATATATCCAACACTTAGGTCTATTGCATTCATATTCTTCTGTGACTTTCAAGGATGATAGTACAAGACACATAAATATCCTTCCTAGTGCCACTGTCTTCTGGTTACTTTTTTTAGAGTCTATGGCACTGGGGTGCGGGAGGGAAATGTAATCTAGAGACCCAGTAGTATTTCCTCTTGACCCTTAATGCTCATGATCCTCTATGGAAATAATAGGAAGTAGTTCTAAACCAGGTTCCTCTTGCACTCCACCATTAGCTTCTACCTGACTCAGGTATGATTTTGGCTACAGCATCCATGGGGCTAAGATCATTCAGTCAATCAACAGACATGTAATAAGTGTTTATAATGTACCTGACACTCTTAGTATCTGAAGAGATTTGTATTATGCAGCCCTGCTAGGGGATTAGAGAAAGACATGCGAGCATACTGTTGCTAGAGTTGCTAAGTAGCAACTAGAGAGGTCAAGGACAACTACTAGAGGTATCACCCTGCTTTGTGGAGGATGAATGCCCACCCAGTCAATCTCTCTACAGGAATTTGTCTATTTATAATTTGAGCCTTCTAGTAGGAAAGGGTTCTTCCCTCAGCTATAATGAGGATTATATTGAGTTCTCTTTCCGAGATTTCCATACATTTTAATTTGAGTGTAATCCATTAGTGTCCTTGGTGTGAGGGCCCCCTTCACTAACATAGATCAGAACCCCTCTATGAATTGGTAGAAGGTCTCTGAGAATTCCTACAGCTGGAAAATTCATCACCTTGAGACCAATGTGGTGATGAACCTTCCTAAGCTTAATTAAGTGGGCCATTAGACAACATACTAATCTTTAGGCAGATCTTTTCAACTCGGTGAGACTTTTCAGAATTTTCATTCCACTGACATAGTTTTTTTTTTTTAAAGCAATTGGGGTTAAGTGACTTGCCCAGGGTCACACAGCTAGTAAGTGTCAAGTACTTGGTCTGAGGCCGGATTTGAACTCAGGTCCTCCTGACTTTAAGGCCAGTGCTCTACCCACTGAACCACCTACCTGCCCCCCATTCACATAGTTTTCAAGAATAAAGGGTTACTTCTACATCACAAAGAACAGAATACTTTAGTGGAAATTATTAATTTATCAATTCAACAAATGAAATATTTCATTATACAAATTTATGTTTAACAGGAAATATCCAATGTACCATGATGATGAATATTTAATGTTACCACCATTTTTTAGTTTTTATTCTGATTCTTTCTTAAACAAATTTCTGACTCCAAATACAATGCTCTTTCTACTATAACACACTATTTTCTAGAATGTACGAATTCTATGCTATGTTAAGACATTTAAAAAACTACAAATTGTGTTGTATATTACAGCTGTTTTTAATTTTAAAAATTCATAATGTTACAAAACAAGGAGAAATTGAAATTCTTCCCAAAGGGAGAATAAGAAAGATTAAATCTTATTACTGTTTAGCTCATCTTTCCATTCTGGTATGCATGACAAGAAATTATACAGCAAGTTCTTTATGATTTTAAAGAAATGTAATTTTTACTGTTTTGCTTTCCCCTAATTAACCAGTCCCCTGGTTTAATTTGTTGCTGACATGATAAGTCAAGAAAGGAGCAGACCTTGACCTTCGTTGGAGGAAAAGACTTTCCTTACCTGGGAGTTACTTATACCAATGAAATCACAGGCCCAGTTCCTATCCTTAATTTTTTCTGTACAAAACGAAAAGAGAAAGGGGTGGATCCCATCCTTCTCATTCCCCACTAAGTCCAAGGGCAAAAAGACTGGAATGGAGAAGGTGCTTAGTTTTCAGAGGGAACTGTATCCTCACGCCACAGATCATGTAGTAGTTCTTAGAGTGCCGCAGACATATGGAAGCTATGAAACTCACTTCCAGGTTAGGGGCTAGTAAGCCACAACCCCTATAATCTGAAATCTCTACTAGTATTCTTTTTTTTTTTTTTTGGTGACGCAATCAGGATTAAGTGACTTGCCCACGGTCACACAGCTAGTACATGTCAAGTGTTTGGTCTGAGGCTGGATTTCAACTCAGGTCTTCCTGACTTCAGGGCTGATGCTGTATCCACTGCGCCACCTAGCTGCCCCCTTTCTACAAGTATCCTTACATGAGATGTTTAGGGGTCTATTAGCCCTCGATCACCAACCGTTTCAGGGGCTGTGTTTGATCCATACATATATGACTGAGATTTAGATTTCAAACAAACCTTTTTCTTAATTAGGAAAAACAACATCTAACACAATACATATCTATTTTTAAATTACCTGATCATCAGCAAATTTGAGAAGGGCTGCCATAGGATCAGAACCAGGAGACAGCACAAAAATCAGTGGTGCGCAGCAGTTACTGTCTCCAAATGCCTTGGACAAATCAAATGGTGGTGGTTCAATAAATTGACGCCCCAAATGGCTAGTTATAAATTCTTGTACCATTGGAATAATCTAAAAAAGCAAAGAAGAGACCTTTAAAAATTAAATTTGTTAAGATCAGTACTTTAGAGAATGGGGATGCTAAAAACCAAAAATCTATTTTAGAATAACAGAGAGCTGTGGTCATCTTATTCCTTAATTATTCATTGTTATCAGAGTAATTTTTCACAATATTCCTATTTTTATAACTACATTTTATATATTGAGTACGTATGAAGAGTATATTTAAGGTAGTTGATTACCAAAAAATTTGCTTCCAGCCACCCACCTGCCAGTTTGCTTTGTTGGCTGCCCTGCTTCTGCTCACCCAGACCCTTCAGAATTCATCAGACCTAAAGAATCCAAACCCTAAACCCTGGGGCAGTTAATTTGCTCAACTGTAGGACTCACAACTTCTGGCTGAGCTGTCTTGATTAGGGACAGAAGGAGTGAAGACTTACTAAGCCCAGTATATCTACAGCTAGCCCCCAAAACATGTTTCACTTCCATCCATCTCGCTGTCCACTTGAGGTCATCTTGCTATCTTCTAAGTGCTTCTAAGTGCTTACCCCATCCCCTACTTTTCACCTTCTCTCTCTCAAACAAAGCACAGTAAGTAAATCAATAGTATCACTCCTGGAAAGGGAGTATAAATTTACTACTCACCAATCAATTTACCAATCCTAAGATTCCTCTGACCAAAACACTCCCATGGCCACTATTCCCTTTTATGTATTGTCTCTATCATTTGAAAGGTAGCTCCTTGAAACAGGGGCTATCCCACTTTTTGTTCTTATATTTCCAGGTTTAGCACAGGGTGTGGAATATAGTAAGCACTTAATACATTTTTATTCATCCTTTGCATTTAACCAAGATTACTATAGTATGAAACTACTAATGTATTATCTGTTGAGTAATAATGGGGATAATTAATATAGAAGTCTTTATCCAAGGATTTATAATCTACATTATACTATTCATAAAGGATTTGATAGCTGTCTCCTAGAAATTAAAATAAATGTTAATAAAAGTATATTTACACTGTAATAAGATATACAAATACATACTTTTAAAATATGTTTTCATTAGACATTCAACCCCCATATAAGAGATTGGGTTACTATAACTATAGACATTAATTCTCCGTGGATTACAGAGGAGTAGGGGAATTAGGCTTCTTCCCTGATTCACACATGGTGGGAAAATTTGTTTCTACTCTCATAGAATCTCAGTGTTGGAAGGGAACTGAAAGGTCATTTAGTTCAGTGGCGTCCAATACAAATAGAAACAGGGGCCACTGAACTGGCTGACCCTATATTGACTTAGAAAACCACATATTAACATTATCTATGGTCTATTGTATTTTTATGTATTTTGTTAAATATTTCCCAAATACACTTTAATCTGGTTTGGGCAGCACTCAGGAGTGGTGAGCCTGGTGTTTGATACTTCTGATTTAGTTCATCCTGTACCTGAATAAGAATCTCTACAAAATCTTGATAGTTTGTCACCCATCACTCCCTTGAAGACTTCTAGGGACAAAGAACTCAGTACTTCCTAAGACAGCTTATTCCAATTCTACATGATGTCTTCCTGCCCATTTACAAGTGATCAGATAGAAGATTTTTGGGGTTTTTTTTTGTTTTTTGCCTTTGTGGCTTCAGATGGTACTTTCTTGAACTACTTGGAAAGGGAAGGAGTAACTGTCCATTAATTAAGATTCCAAAATAAATTGGTATAAAAATTGCCTAGATTTGAAAAAAAAAAAAGTTATAGTTCAGAGCATGGGAGTAACATTCAAATGGTATAGAATGAGGTGAGAAAAGAAATTAAAGCCCCAAGGAAAGAAACTGGATTAAAGAAAAAAGTAAAGAGTAAAGAACAAGAAAATTTTGAGTATTAGTTTATAAGGCACTGGAGCACACTGAATAATGAGTGCCTCACTTGAAAAAGTGAATACTAAATATCCAACTTTACCAGTCTTGGGATTTCTTCAGCATAGAGAGCTACTGTACAGGTACAAAAACTCCCTCTACCAATACAGATTGGCATCCAATTTAGGAATCATGGAATTCTGTTGGGATTCTGTTGGGATTCTGATGATGCTGGTGTTTTACCACACTATAACACACAAATGGTTCCTCAATCCTTCCAATTCTTCTATGACTCACAACTTGGGCAAAACTTAAGACTCCTACTTAATACTATTAGACAAAATGAAAATAAACTGCCTACCACACGAGGCATCATTGATGAGCCTATGATACATGATTTGCTCTACCATCCCATCATTTCTGCTCATGACTAAAACACTGAAACTGCTTGATGGGCTTCATGCCCTGGATGAGCCAATATTGAGGAAGACTACATAAACAGAGTCCCTCTAATTATCTTCCAAGAGCTAAGATGTAAATAGCTGACTTAACATATTATTATCCAGTATTTACTAAATACTCTCTAAGTGGCAACACACTCAGCTAAATACTAAACTAACTTCTCTTTACAGAAATATACATTTCTTTTCATTTATGGACAGTTTTCAAAGTTTCCTTCAGGAACATTTATGCCAACTAATGTAGTTATATACACTCTGGAAAGACTCTATTACTTAGTGACTGCCACCCTATTCATTAAAGATTTATTGAGCACCTGTTATACACTAGGAGCTCTGTTAGGTGGTAAGAAATGGGAATGGAAGGATACAGGGAAGATTTATTCCCTGGCTTCATAGAGCTTACACCAAAGCAGATTTATTATTGTTAAAGTTTATACTTCCATTAGGCTTCCATGGAAAAGCAATCAAATAAATTTGAGTATAAATAAGTCAACTTATCCTCCAGGTTCTAGTTAGTATTTTAAGAACAAAGATTACAACTTAGTTTATAGGTAGAAAGTACTTATTACGATTCCCTTCTTCTCAGAGGAAGAAAATAAAGGTTTTTTTCCTATCATAAGTATTAATATACTTACTCTAATTTCCCACAGAATTTAAGTAGGGGACAGAAAAGCTAATTAAGGCTTCTATCCATGTTGCTCCAATCCTCATCTGTGTTATATGGCTAATTAAAAGCAATAAAAAATTATTTCTAGGTGAAAACATAAACATTGTTTAATCCCTGCCTTAGAAAAAGGATAGAGAATTACAATCTACTACCTATTGGGTTTTTTTGTTTGTTTTTTTTTTCAATGGATATGTTTCTGGCAGGACTGAATATGGCAGCCAACAATATTACTGAATTTAGGGAGATGTAAGAATGTGAAAACTGCCTGAGAATTTTTACACCCGTCCTTACATGAAAATTGCAAATGTATTCCTGGAAATATAAGTGGGAGAAGATCACCTTTGCTTTGGCTCTGAGTTGCACAACAATTTGGTTGTATTATTTTGGTCACTGACAGCAGATGGGGCGCCAAGAATACAAGGAATATTTTCCAAGTACTCAGACTGGATAGCTACTTCCATTTAAATATGGAATTGCATACAACAAAGCCTCCAAAGTAGGCATTTTGCATATATCAAGTGATATCATTCCTCTGCTATAATGGAGCAAATTGCTGCTATTTAGTGACCTGAAAATGTCATCACCTTTGGGTTCAGAGGGAAAAGAAATACTTTCCAATTTTAAAGGTAATGTTTAGTTAAAGTTGCTTGAAGAAAAGCCATTTTCCTAAGAGAGCCAGGCTGTGTGGTGAAGAAACTGGACCTAGAGTCAGGAAGACCTGACTTCAATTCTGACCTCAGACATTTACTAGTTGTGTGACCCTGGACAAATAACTTAACCTCTATTTGCCTCAGTTTCTTCATCTGTACAACGGTGATAATAACAGCACCTATTTCCTAGGTAGGGAGGAATCAAATTGATCCTTGTTGTGAGGATCAAATGAGATAATAATTATAAAGTGCTTAGCACAATATCTGACACATAGTAATAACTATACAAATGTTAGCTCTTATTATTCTTGTTGTTGTTGTTAGGAAGTTCTGAGTTTAAATCTCAACCCTTACTAATTACGTGACCCTAGACAAGTCATTGGACCTCTGTTTATCTCATTTCCCTCAGCTGTAAAATGGGAATAACAATAACATTTACTTCTTAGGGTTGTTGTGAAAATCAAATGAGCTATTTTTTGTAAAGTATAATACTTATATTGTAACACAAAGAAATAAATATAAAAATAGACATATGTCTCACATTAAATGAGATGTGTATAAAGTACAATAATATTTGTAGCACAATGCCTGGCACAAAATAGGTACTTAATAAATGCATATTTCTTTCCTTCCTTCCTAAGGATTGTAAGTGCTTAAAAACACTTTCTAGATCAATTACAATAACCATAACAACAACTAACATTTACATAATGCTTACTATATGCCATGAGTTTTTTCTCATGCAGGAAGAGGGGAAGCATTTAGGTGGGAAGAGGTGATCTCATGGAGAATACTTGATTTTGCAGAATGAATGCTGTCACTGCTTCCTTCCCCCACTTTTTTCAAGGATGCACAAGTATATTAAATAGATGATGGCATTGGAAAGCTGTCCAGATACAAGCGGGGACATCTAAATTATATGTATTAAATGAAAATTGATTGAAGGACCTGGGACTGTTTAGCCTAGAGAAGACTTATAGGAGGGCATAATGGTTATCTTCAAATATCTATAAGGCTTTCATGTGGAAGAGGTATTAGACTTGTTCTGTCTGGTCTCATAGAGTAAAATTAGGAAAGATGGGTGGAAGTTGTAAGGAAGGATAGGTTTGACATATGGAAAAATATTCCCACTATTTAGAGTAAAATTCCTAATGTTTAGAGTGAAAAATGAGATGGCTGCCTGAGAAGCAGAGGGTTCACCCTCATTGGAGGCCTTCATGGAAAGCCTGGATGACCCTTATCAAATATGTTATAGTGGAAATTCTTTTTCAAGTAGAGGTTAGAGCAGCTGACCTTTTAGGTCTCCTCTAACTCAGAGTCTACGATTGATCTCTTTGAGGAGAGAATGTTACAAGTAGTATATAATTTGTAGCCTGATTTCTGCTTCTGAATAAAATGGCAGAATATTATCATTCACCTTTAAAATCAATCCCAATTTCAAGATGGAGTCTTTAAAATTTAAATGTCTTTGTGTGCGGACTTTGCAAGGAACTAACTTCTCTTCATTTTCTTCAAAGTCATGATCATTGCAAAAGCACATGGATTATTAGTGTGTGTTTCTGCCTGATATTTTAAAGTCATAAATAACATCTCTTTTGTAGATGCCAAAGGCTGGCTTCATCCACTCTCCAAATGCAAACTTACCAGATGTGGCCAAGTGTTTCTTATGCTTGCTAGAGTAGAAGACCAGTATCTAAATCACTTAAATGATGATCACTGGTAAGCATATAATACTAAAGTCTTAAAGAGTAATCACAGAACAGTTTAATTGTCACATTATTCATGTCAAAAAGTAACACAAACTTGGCTACATAACATGTAAATACTTCTGGCAGAATTGTGAATGACATATTCCCCATTGACTGCTGGTGGGGTATGTCACATTTTGAGTGTAATAAAGCTTGTACTGTGATTCACACTGGCTTAATTGGCATTAGATAGTGAATTGATATGAAGATTCATTCAATACTATATAATTTTGAAGGACAGTTTTTAGAAAATTCTTATTTTTCTTGCTGAGGAAATGGTGAACTTTCCACTCACTGCATGTTGAAGAGTACAACATTCCAGAAACCCTGTTTTTGATGCTGTTTGAGTATAGAAATTTTTTTGATGATCTGACAATGGAAGAATATCATAACCTGGAAATGGATCAACTGATGATTTTCTTAATATGTATTAGTATAGCCAGGATCTCTTGCATAGGGAAGACATAGGGAAAACAAATAATTTCTATAGGCAGTATTATGTAAATTTGCTATTTAACAAGGGAGGTGCTACAAGTAAAATTTTTCTCATATTTTGGGGTAATTGACTTTCTCATGTTAAATTTTTAGTCACAATGCAAATATGTGGCTTAAGAAAATGTAGCTTTCCAAAACCTTAATTTATCATTAGTAACTGGGACCCCCAATAGAAATAAAATTAATCTTATGGAAGATGATTCGGAGAAAGCAGAAGATAATTTCAGGGTTTGGAAAAGAACTCTTGGATAAAAGAATGGTTCTTCCTTCATACATTTAGGCTCTATGATATCTGTTGGCATAGGCAGACCTTTCATCCTGGTAGATCACTTTTTTGTTACCTAGCATAAAGTCTCCAAATGTGACCCAGCAATAAACCTGGTGAGGTCATCTGAACTTAGCTAGGCTCTTCCTCTGACCACAAAAGTCCCTCACTGACTTTTAAATGTGTATGATAACAGAGAGGAAGGTGATTAACTAATATACTTCTTCACTAAGAACAGGAAAATCTTGATACAAATTATGTAGAATAGATATGAGAGAAATGTCTGATAGGGTTTTTAAATGGCTGGGAGGCAAAAACTCTTTTCCTTGATAACTCAATTATTCGATATGTTTTAGGTGTGTCTTAAATTCAATCTTTATTACCTTTTGAAAACCCTTGGTTTGAAGTACTCTGAACACATTCTCTACCCAATTTTTTTTTAAAGCAGGGTTATAAAAATCATTATTTTATTGTCATTCATTAATCATTTATGAAGCACCTAATATAAGCAAAGCCTCTTCTTTTATTTGAAACAAATTGGGCTATATAGTCATTTAAAGCTCTGAAAATACTTAACTAGTTTCTTCCTTTCAAAGAATTTAATTGGGCAAGAATTTGTAAAATACTTGGAAGGAAATATATCTGGAACAAGGTAACGTCTTATTAAACACCTTCTTAGTAAGAATTAGTATATACCAGAATGAGAAGTGACTATTTTCTAATATTTTATATTAGACATGCATGTAGTCATCTTAGTATTTAACAAGTCTCATCCAGCATACAAAATTGAGAAGATTAACACTTCTTTCAAAAGCATGTGCATTGAATCCTTAGGGTACTGCTATCCTTGGGTGGTATTTATATTAAAAGTTAGCACATTCCTTTGTAGTCAGGATAGCACTAAACAACTGTTATAGGCTGTGGAAGGCCAGCCCAAAATACAAGACCAGATATAAGAACATTTAAGTCAAATAATTCAAATAATTCGCTAAGTGAGCCAGAATTACAACCACTGAGCAGGATCAGAGCAGTGACAAGGACTGAAATTAGACTGTAGAAATGTTGAGAAAAGGCAGAGCAAAAGTCAGGAGGAAATAGTAGTTTGTAGTTTCAAGTTATGAAATAAAATTCCTATAGCATAAAAGCCATTCTGGCTAGTTTCAAAGTTTACATAACTTTAATGCACCAACTTTTTCATATACTTATACTTTTCAGTTATAAAAACTTATACTAATCAGTTTTTGTGGGTAAAGAACTTACTTTTAGGAAATATAGCCTTGGATGGCATGTGGGAAAGAGGTACCTTAATTTCAAAGCTCAGATTCACATTTACCTTGTCAGGTCTCAGACAGCGAATAACAAGCATCCTTTGAAAGTCATTTACTTTTTCTTCCCATGATTCAGGAAAGGACTCATGATGGGGCTCCTGTAAAAATGGAGGAATCAAATTGACTCAAATCGAATTACATAAATCTTTTGGTTCAAATACTGTTTCACTGTGTGACCCTTTTAAGGTTTCCTCATATGCCGAAAGGGGTATAAAATTGATTATACCATACACTTCACAGGGCTGTAACAAGGAAAGTGCTTAACAAAGCACAAGGTAGATCTCAGCACACACACCTCAACCCCACCCCTCATCCCCCAATAATGAAATTGTCTCCCAGAGTAAATTTCACTACTTTGGCCTATGTGGTGAAATCCACTCTCCAATTATCTAGGCTAACCCTCAGAAACCAGATTTATGGTCTCACCAGGCTCTGACATAGCTTGTGCTCTATTAACATTACAAGGTCCCCTCCACATCCCAATGAGGCATCAGAGGGGTAAAGAAGTGGAAAGTTTAAATGAATACATACCAAATCTTAAGTGACCACACCACAGGCTAGTGGTGACAGGGATCAGAAAGTCACGTAGAAAAGGGAATGAGTTCAATGACATGAATCTAAGAAGGGTAGGTTTTGGTATATGATATGACATAGGCTTGTTAATTTCTAAAAAGAGTATTTCCTTATTTCCTATACAAAATTCAATTTTCTATATTCTGAAAACATTACGACTTCAAGTTTTTGTCTAATTTTGTTACTTAAACACCTAAAATAGTGCCATGTGAAAATCATACTGGAACTAATTTTCTTCCAAATTTTAGACTTCGAACTGAGGTAAACAGTCAATAGCTTCAGCAATTGATTGATGATGGTCTGTTNTTTTGTTACTTAAACACCTAAAATAGTGCCATGTGAAAATCATACTGGAACTAATTTTCTTGCAAATTTTAGACTTCGAACTGAGGTAAACAGTCAATAGCTTCAACAATTGATTGATGATGGTCTGTCGAGAACACTATGGAAGTGTTCATCTCTTTAGTATCGTGTCCTTATCAGTAATCAATGTGGCTCCATCAGCACTGAGTATTTCATATGCATCATAGGTCTTTGGCCCATAAATCACCTTCAAGGCATCATAAAAGTGCTTTGGATTGTTATTATCAGCATGAAACTGAATTTCATCTGCCTTCTTACTGAGCCAGGAATCCTGCATCTCTCTAAGCTTTGCTTTGTACTTTACTTTTGATGGAGTCAAATGTTGCCTTTTTTAGAGATGGACGAACTATTGCACTGCTAGTCCCTATAGAGTTCTCATTTTTCATTTAGTACCTTCTGAATTTCCTCATCATTTTCATCAAATCAATCCTGATGTTTGTAAGTATTCTGATCCAAATGACTAAATGTGGTGCTGTACACCAAATCTTTGTAAGCTGCCCATTCCTTTTCTGCTCCACTGTTACCGATGGTGTGTTGGCTCAGCTTTCCCTCCAAGTCAATCACTATTCATTAGTCACTTGCTAGTGAAAAGATTTTCAAACCCATATAAATATATGTATGTATGTATGTATATGTATATATGTGTATATGTATTTATATACACACACACCCATATATATATATATGAAAGTTTAACATTTTCATAGTTTTTGTCAGTTCAACAATAGTGTTTCCATAGATTATTCAACCTAGGAAAATATCTTTACTTTCATATTTCAAAACATATAATTAAATTAATGTTAAAAATTCCAAATTTATGACAATTTTCAGGCAGTGCATAGTACAACAATGACAGAATAAACTAAAGTTTTATTTTAATACCTGTCTAGCTTATTTACTTGTTTTATTTAAAGATGAAGACTAGAAAATAAACATTCTCTTTTTTCCATATTAAAACCACATAATAAGCAAAAGTTTCATGAAACAATTTTTAATACATACCAAACTATCATATACTTTTTTCCATCCATCTTTCAGTGACACAAATGCCTTACGAATGCCTTTGAAGTCTGGCAATTCATCTAATCGACATATTTCATCCCAAGATTTCTGGGGAAGCCATATACAAGGGTTGGAGAAAGGATTGTCCAGACCAATGCCACCAGTTAGCAGAAACCTCCAATTATCTTCATTAACCTTGAGTGAAATTGCACAGAAGAAAGAAGTAAAAAACTAGACAATCTACTTATACTTTAGTCAACTTATGGAAGATTTAGCTACCTTAAATTTTAAAGGGTAAACACTCAGATTTTCTTTCAATCAATCTGCAAGTGTTTATTAAGTACCTATTACCTATTAGGTGCTAGGTGATGGGGGTGACAGTTAATTTTTCAGTTTAAAGACTTGTAGAGGGGCAGCTGGGTGGTGCAGTGAATAGAGCCTTGGCCCTGGAGTCAGGAGGAGCTAAGTTCAAATCCAGCCTCAGACACTTGATACTCACTAGCTGTGTGACCATGGGCAAGTTACTTAACCCCAACTGCCTCACTAAATAAATAAATAAATAAAGACTTATAGAATCAGAATCTGAGCTAGTGCTCAGGGACCACTTGGTCCGACTTTTACTTGAACATTTGCAGTTATATTCTTACAAAGGACTTTGCAAATTTCGCTATTATTTAAATGAAAGAGGGCTAGACCCTTTTGTTAATGTAAATCCTTGGCATCATGATCTTCCACATATGAAAATAAATTATTTGCTGCTGTTTCTTCCCATCTGCCATAATAATCCTTCTACACTAAGGGTCTAGTTTCATTCCATTACCTAGCTTGCCTAGGCATGATCTGATGAGGAATGTACGTCCGGTGAAGGAGTACCTTCACCAAGAAATACTGATGGAAAAATGTCCTTTCAGAATTCCTCTGTAATTATTGTGGCCTTTAAGGGAAGCTCCAAATTCAGTCATAGAGTCTGATTGGGTTGGAAGTGTTAAAATGAAATTAGTGTTCAAGTACTCACTGCAAGTTCTAACCCTTCTTAACTAGTCATTTGAAGCAGTCCTCAGAATTATCTTTTACTTGTATGTTTCACAAACATATGAATGATGTATTCAATGATTAGAATAGGAGTGTCAGAATATTCATTCAGCCTCTGATCTGGAGAGACATCGCTGAGGTCGAGAATTTCTAGTAGAATTTTTAGCACTACTCAGCACCATTTGAAAAGATATCTTGCTATAGCATTTTCTTAAAAGCCCTTATCTTTATTTATAGTTTTAAAATTACTCATTGCCCCTATTGAATTAATGTTAAGAAACAGGATTGTAAAGGACATGGGAAAAATTAAGATCTTTCTAAATTATAAATTTATTCACCTTACTGGCAAAAGCCATCATTGAGTTCCAGGACTATAAGATAAAAAAATAAGCCAGGTTTCCAAAGAGCCTGGTTGAGTAATGTGTATGAAAAGCTGTCTTTTCAAAATCACGTCACACTTTAAATGAATACATTTAAAATGGTCAATTTTCCTTCTAATTATTAAAACCAATGAAGAGAGAACTCCATTTCCAAACAGTGCTAAGTAGTGCTAAAATTCCACTATATCAAACCCAAACTGTTCAGTTCAGCTACTAATTGCTTCAGATGTTTAAATACATACTTAGTCTATTTGGTATAAACATATTGAGACAATATACTAAAATACAGAGTTGGTATATCTTTATAGGTTACTTTAACTTAATATTAAAAATACATAGTTCTAACACTATGGTCTGTCTACAATATATTTTCCATCTCTGTGGAATCAAAGTGTCTTGTTATAATGAGTTGCATTAAATATACTAAGCATTGTTTATGGGTCGAATTTTTCTGTTTTATAGATGTCATTATGAATAAATAACTTAGTAACAATGTAATTTTTCATACACCAATGCCTTACAAAAATTTTCAAAAGGTACTGACCAAATTTTCATATGTTAGAAGATTCACATTTAGACAAAAGGAAAAGAGCAGCTTATCCTTTTCAAAGAGTGAACGACAGACATTAACATATAAAGAATAAGTAAAGTGGTCCTGGAGAATTTGTAACCTGCAAAGAAATAAATTTTTTTTAAATTAAAAATTAATATCACTCTAAAGCCCATGCATTTACAAAAACCTATTACAAACCAGTTAGACCTTCATTGTTCTAATAAACTTTCTGGCCAATTACCCAAAAAACAATCAAGGATCCTCATTAGCCATGTGAACCAATTTGAGAGCGAAACAGTATAGAAACATTTCAGTGAAATTACATTTTACCGTTGACTGATTTTTTTTAAAGCTACCCATCTTCCTTTTGGACAAAAAATCATTGCACATGTATACTAAGTTGTTGTTTTAAAAGTCTTGTGCCTAAGTTCTATTTTTTAGAGATACATTTCAGTTTAGTTTTTCTATTAATTTCCTGTAAGTTTCTATTTTGGATATAAAGGTATTTTTTAACCAGTTGTTTATATCTGAAGATAAATTCAAAGCACTATTTGTTATTTAGTAACATAGATAAGAGATTAGTGTCCTGCTTTGGATGTGAAATTAGTAAAAGAAAGCTTGAAGAAATTACAAAACAATGATAGACTACATTAATAACAACAATCTGAACAAAGCATTAGGACAACTAATAATCATAGTATGACTAACTATTTTTGGATAAAAGTCTATCCTTGGAGTTAGGAAGACCTGGGTTCAAGTTCTGTCTCTAATTTGTCATAGTTTATGTGACCATGAGCAAGTCATTCAACCTCTCAGTGTCCAATGAGATGTAGATCAGCTTTGGTGGTGGGAGTTTCCATACTGGGAGCTCCCAACCATTTCTCAAAACTGTTCAGTAGTATAACCAACTTTTTGATTATTTATAGACTGTCTCATATGTGGATTATCCAAGACCTACTTTTTGATGTCTTTACCTGTTTTTTACCATCAACCAGCAGCATCTCGACAAGAAAAGCACATTCATTGAATTTGTCCATTTTTTCTTACTTAGCAACTCTGACAAAATGTGTGTTGGCATAGCCACTGAAAACAATAGCTAAAATGTCTAAATTCTCTGCAAATTTAAATTACTCATTCTACTGATTCCCAGACTGATGGGGAAGGTTTTCTCTCTCTCTTGGAAAGTGACACACAAATAGCTGGGCAGCACAGAGGTCTATGGGTGAATAAGACAAAGCAATGTACTTTCACTGATTAGGTGGACTAATTGATTGGAAACCTAACTAAAGACCACGGGAGCAATTTGTCAAGTGATAACCAGGATGTTAATATCTGTTAGAAAAGAAGGGCCAGAAGTATACACACACACACACACACACATACATAAATATACATATATACATATATTCCTGGTCCTTCTTTTACACATGTATATAGAAACACATAAAATTAATTATATTTGTCATCATGATGTATATAATTTATTATATATATTATATTTAATAGTCATCATATTTTATTTATTATATATAATTTATTTAATACATTTGCGTAAAGACTTTGTGGCAGAACATAATGGGGAAAAAACCAGGGCACCATCAGCAGCTAATGGTATCAAAGAGGCAGTTGAGACCCTGCACAAAAAGCAACTCACCTCTACCTGAGATTTCTAGTTTCCAGAAGCCAAAAGCCCAGAGTCCTGCATTACAGGAGGCCCATACAAAATTTAGTATCCTGGGAAAGTGTAACAGACATCTCAGGGAACTAAAGATGGCAAATCTCACCAAAGAAACAAAAGAGAGACTAAGTGAAGTGCAAATAGACAGAAATAACTGTCTAACAGAAGCAAAAAGTAATACCATTAAGAAAAAATTTGATTTCTATACAAGCAAAACACTGATCTTGATGACAGGATTCACAGAGATATCCATAGGTCTACCAGAATAATACAAGTGAAGAAACTTGAAGACTAAAGTCAAAATTAATATAAGAAAACTTCCTAGAACTTCAGAAAATGGGGTGGGAGTACCAATAGAATTGGCACAGACCCCTCCCCACTAGAAAAGACTAGTGAAACTGAAGGTAGCAGTGCTAGAATTGAATCTCAAATTCTTAGTTCATAATAAACAAAATCATTAAATCATATTTTCTTTGCAATTAAAAAATTGGCAAATGTGAAGGTAGATAAATTTTTCTTGTTTTGCTCTAGTCTATATCCTTGAATTAGAAGGAAAATATAATTATGTTAATCTCCACAGTCCATGGCAGGCCATGGCCTTATGGGGATTCTCTGACACACNTTCTTGTTTTGCTCTAGTCTATATCCTTGAATTAGAAGGAAAATATAATTATGTTAATCTCTACAGTCCATGGCAGGCCATGGCCTTATGGGCATTCTCTGACACAA